TCAAAAGTGAGCATATTGGACTTGTGATGGTTTGGTGAAGTCAACGTTACAAGAACGTTAAGTTATAAGTTAATTTAGTGAACAAACAATAAATTTAACTCTAAAAAGCTTTAACTTCAGAATTAATAAGGAGACGTTTATTATTTTAACCCAGTTATACTTTAACTAATTACATTTTTAAATTGAATTATATTGATTAACTATAGTTGAGTTAAAAAGTTTAAAAACAATGCATTTTTTCACTTAGTTTTAACATTTTAACTAGCTAATGCCCACCTTTTCATGTCATAGGCACATATTACATATTGATGATAATTGTATGGTAGGTACCACATATTACTAGTAGTAAGTTACTACTATAGTAAAATGAGTATTGCAGATGCGCTGCAGAGCCGAAAGTGGTAATTATTCGTAAATCGAACCTTCACCCAAGGCCTTATGTATATTATATAGGTGTGATTTCGCGCCATTTTTTGACGCTCAATAGCGTATCATAAAGTATATTATGCGTTGTAGTCGTAGCGATGTATTATAATTAATGTTATTATTGTTGTATAAATTATGCCACGAACGCCAAAAAGTAAAAGCGGACAATGGGACGCGCCGGGCAGAACGAACGGACCGTGCGCGAAACGCACCGGAACGCGCGGGACGAAAACCGTCAAATGGCCAGCCGGAATATGGAATATTATTATATTGTTGTGTTATAGCTGAGATGGTGAAAATCGCGAAGATTTCGTTGCCCGACGATCGGAACAAATATAATATAATATACATCGTGGTGTGTAATTAAATGCCTATTATCGTCGGCGACGGACTCGAACCAATTGCAGTGACGTAATCGGCGGATAGTTTATTTGCGCTACGAACAAAATGAAATAAAATAAAACGGCCAAAGTATGTAGAAATTGAATTGTTTGGACCACTGGTTTGGGTGAAATCGGATTATCTCCCCTTCTCGCGCGACCAGCTAATACTTTTTTCTTCAGCATACTATAAGCATTTATACATATTATGTTTTCTCGGTGTAACGAAACCGTATTCGCGTGTATGCAGTGGCCACATCGTATAAAACACGCTGTTATCATCTACACTATTTATATCCATGTATGCTAATGCGTGTGTCTAGAAAGTTTGATAACACTCGGTTCGTATGTATTTTTGAACGTGTACAATATTATTATAATATTATTAGGTACTTATTCTGCGCGTAATAGCCTCATCATTCATCATCATCATATTATTATTTTTACTATATAGTTATATACAGGGTGAGTCACCAACCATACTCACTCTTATTTTTTTCCTTTAATAATGAATCTATTCAAGTTTTGAATTTTGAATTTTTAAACATTGAGGGTATGTGAGTGAGCATGCCTTGTGCATAGTTCTATATAATCGTTGCTCATATGATGAAAGTTATATTAAAATTTTCTCGTTATACCTACCGCATAAACTATTGGGTATAATTAATTAATATATAATTCAGTTTATAATATACAATATACATTATACCTACAAGATGTCCTACTTTGGAGGAAAAAAGTTACATGAAAACGAGCATCATCCTCTTCTCGGATGGAAAATCTGGAGTGAATCAGTCATAAACTGGACAAATGTTACAACAACGTTGATAAACACCAATAAAATATATTATATGTATCGTTAAATTATTATTGTAAATACGATGACTTGAGATAAGTATTTAAGATTGCGGATTTCGAGCGTTGTACTTAATATCTCCATATTTTGTTGAATTAAAATTCGCGAGGGCTATAATTAATAAAATATATAGAATATGCTAGATCGTAGAGAGCAAAAACAGATCGAACTTTTTAATCGAAGACGGATGGTTCGGTCGCGTTTATTGCGGATCGAAGTATTTTAACGTTCGCTGCAGTAAGCTCTTGGCAAGCGAGGGGCGCAAAAGAAAAAAAGAAAACCATTATGCCGAACAGCGACGATCATAATATATTATATTATTATAATACTCATACTATACCTACATTATATAGGTATTGTACCGTCTGACACGAGTGCGAAAATAAAATAAGAACGAGGAGGTGCGGCAGTTACGCCGACGGTAATATTTCATATTTTCGGATACTTTATTCCACATTATAATATACAACGTTACATATTATATTAAACTATATAGGTATATAGGCACCCGAAAGTGTTGTGCAGTGAGCGCGCTTTGCTGGCACGCGATATATATTATATTATGTACTGCTTAGCTCCAAACACGATGTAGCGCGCCGGCCGACCGTTATGTATATACAATATCGTGTATGTGTACGCGTCCTCCGTAAGTCCTGTGCATGTGTGTGTGTGTATGTGTGTGTGTGTGTGTGTGTGTGTGTAAGTGTTATCAAAAGTGAGCATATTGGACTTGTGATGGTTTGGTGAAGTCAACGTTACAAGAACGTTAAGTTATAAGTTAATTTAGTGAACAAACAATAAATTTAACTCTAAAAAGCTTTAACTTCAGAATTAATAAGGAGACGTTTATTATTTTAACCCAGTTATACTTTAACTAATTACATTTTTAAATTGAATTATATTGATTAACTATAGTTGAGTTAAAAAGTTTAAAAACAATGCATTTTTTCACTTAGTTTTAACATTTTAANATATAATATATAATATATTATGTTATTATAACTATATATACATAATATTATGCGTGTGCGTGCAATAGCGAAAAAACGCCGACCGAATGGTGACACGGCGAGACAAATTTGTACGACTATTATAATACGATGATATAAATATAATATATTATGTTAGGCATATATATACCTCGTGCTGCGACCGGCGATCGTACGATAATAATAATGATAACAAATAATAACGCGCTCGACTCCACTACAATATAATATGTATTATGTATTATTATAAAATAAGTTATGTTTGAAAGATATTTATAATGTATAGTAAATGTGTGAGAGAAATTCTTTATGTACCTACTGCGATATTTTTGGTTACGGAAAATAAAAATAATCATCTCAGCTATACTTTTAAATAAATGGTATTGCGTATTAGAGTTAAAAAACGAGCTTAAGCACAGTTTTAGGTAGGTACATGCAAACTTTGGAAGTGAGTCATGATGAAAATCCGATATTTGAATTTTTTTTTTGCTACACGAATTCCCCACACGCATGATACGACTCGTCTGAAGATTGGAGGGTATTGACGAATATAGTATAATGAACAGTATACGCGTCAAATGATGGTCGCGAGGGGTAACCAAGCGTGGTAACCGGTTGTTGCCGGGGACGAAAACGCACGGAAGAGAAATAAAACATAAACAGGGTTTCGAGCAAAGGGGACGAATTTCGAACATGGCTACTCCCCGTGGGCCCAGCAGCTGTCGCCCCTCGTTTTTCGTGCAGCTTTCCCACCGGCGCGCGACCGGGTAAAATACATAGGAAACCCAATGCTGTATATATATACTACAAGGGGACTATATAATACACACACGCAAACATAGAAAAAATATATATTCTTGTACACAGCGTGTCAGACGGAAAAATCAATATATACGAATATATATAGGCGGTCCCAACGAGGCAGTGCAGGCGGCGGTGACGGTTGAAATCATCGATTTCTATATACCAAATTGTATGGCGCGATGATTACGTTTACTTTTTTTAATTTCCGTGGTTTTTTATTGCGTATTTGTATGTGTGTGTCCACCCTCTCCGCTATTGCATATTCGCGAGAAGTGTAAAAAAAAATATATATATAAACATTATATATAATGTAAAACCGTATAGTTTGGTCGATATACGCAACACACCGCCTCCACTTTTAACACTGTCGGTCGCGTTTCACCCGATATAATAATATAATATAATATACCTAGTAAGTAAAGTGCGAGTACAAAAACATAATAATTCTATATTCGAGATAAATCAAAATATTACACACGGTGAATCAGACGCATGACCAAGTACTAATACTTCAAGATGCAATATTATTATTTTCTACCGTCGGCATAATCGTTTTACAAAAGTACGATATAAAAATGTTATACCTATCATTTACGCAGGTGGTGGAGGGATGAATTTTTCTAGTAACGTTTTTCCCGCCTTTTTTTTTTTGATACTCACGACTGTCGGGTCGTTACACGTATAATATACCATGCCATGATACAGTGCATAATATAATATATTTTAAATTATACTTAACAGACGGTTTATTTGAAACTCGCGCGCGGACAATTTATTCATAAATTCTACATAATTTATATGTATATAGAATAATATTATATAATAGGAAATAACATATTGCGCGCGTGTGTGCGTGTGTCGCTCGGGGGATAGTGGGAGATATATTACAAATTAGGACCTTGTTTTTGTCGTCCGGCACGTGTAACATAAAATATTGTTTGAAGAGAATAACGAATTTACATTTTTTGCGGACGGCAAAACAGACGTAAGTCAGTCAGTTATACAAACGCATATACTTAAATATTATTGTCGTTAGAGAGTAAAATACTAAAAAAGTATATTATACTGGAAGAAAAAACGCCGGTAAATACGACGACCTTCGTTAGAAGCACACGTGGGTCGTCGGCGGGCGGATTCTCGTAAAATTTTGTCGCGTATATATATTATTCATAATAATAAATATATAGGTACCGCAGAGCGGGCAGCACCATAATAATTCAATAAAACACATAATATTGTAGTACCGGATCGATAATATTTGTGTGCCTTCGTCGCGTTCGGTTTTTGTTTTTATTTTGTTAACCATTTGTGTCTAAATTCCGAAGTGATTTCTCGGGGTCGGGGTAAATATATTATATTAAAATAATATATATATGGGTATAAATACTAAACATATGCACACGGCAGAACAATAATTTCATTGTGCATACACACACACACACTCGCGCACTCACACTCATGATGATATACACGCGAGCTCGGGTATACATATAATATAATATATAACGAGCGCCAAAAGCGAACAATGGTGGCGATATTACTCACCAGACGTCTCTTGGGCTTAATCAGCGGCCGGTTTTGCCCGTTCATTTTATAGTAGAGGCCACACGCATTACACAGGTAGTGTCCGGTGCCGTCTCTCCTCCACAATGGAGTCGACGTGGCTCCGCAGTTCACGCACTCTCGTCCTTCTGCAAACAAACACACAACGCGTACACGCGTATAAATACAAAAACTCGTGTATATATTATATTATGCACAACACAATATTATAATAATATATTAGTACGCGTTATATATAGCGCCAAATGTCCCAAATCTGTTTGTACATCACACCACCAATCTGTACCTACTTGTCTTGTTACAGTATACCATAATATAATAATGCATATTAAACCTGGCAAAGGAGGTCTCTCGCCTGGACGCGTGACAAAGCAGGAGACCTCCCATCCAGGTGTCGTGGGGTAGCATAGACAATATTACTGACAATAACGGTGTATTGCAATGATATTATATTAGTCCGTAAACTATTCTCTGGTGCCTGATTATGAAAGTTGATTAATTCAAAATATCGTCGTAGGTATCATGTTGTGTACCCTATTAAGTAGTATTATAGAACGATTCGACCATTTTTTTTTTGTATATATTGTGCCAGCTATAACTGCGACATCAGAGATTGACTAAGCCCCACGGCATCATTTTTTATTATACATGTAATATTATATAAGATGTACTTAGAGAATTTGACAATTTAACATTTAAATTACAAATTTTATAAATATGTCATATCTTCCAGATACACCCTGGCACTCTAGCAGATACATCGGCGAAGCAATAGCAATTGTGGAAGTATCAATTATTATTCGCACAGTTAAGTTAGGTATATAATTGTAATATTTATATAACAGAGCGACACCGTAGCGATCTTAACGGATTATTCTATTATAATATTACCACCAAGTTCTCATGTGGAAAGTGAGTGATAGATGAGAAAGATCACGCCACAGCGTCAGACCAAAAGTCAAAATAAGAATTATTTATTATTTAAAAGAAAAAATTATATTTTAATTGCGTTAGGTACACGCGACAAGGTGTGGTGGTACGTCGACGTACATTGCCATTATTTGGAGGAGGAAAAAACCGTACAACCACACGTAGTGCTTATGCTGCGCCGATATAGGTAGGTAATAGTTAGTATATAGGTAAGATGCATGTAAGCGTTTCGCAGTGTGAAAGCCAAAAAAGAAACGGAAAAAAAATTTCCAAGAAAAAAAATACTGGCACTCAACGACCTCGTCTCGAGCGCATATATTACCGCAGCTATATTATACATTATAGGATCTAATGTACTTGCGTAATTTATATACTATGTATGATATAAGTATTTACGCGCTGCATTGGTGTTGTGTTCTAGCCGTTGGACGTTGACGAAAAATCCCTTTTCTATATTATACTTGTATACGCTTCAATAAACCCACTCACACACACACACACACACACACATGGACAGCGTACACGAGCGAGTGTATATATATTTATCGTATTCGATTTCACATTATAAGTAGGCTGTTTTCATATTACAAATACACACCGCTGCAGCAGCAGCAGCAGCTCCTTTCCAAATTAATAGCCACAATATAACCCGGCACCCGGCCATTATCTCGTCCCGGCATCACGAACTTCTCGTTATATAGATAGATACTTACACCTATAGTGTACACACGTATTGTGGGTAATTACGCGCGCGAGAGAGCACTAGTATATTCTTTTTTCGTTATTTTTTTTTTCTACCAACTCGTCCCAGAGATATAACGCTGCAGCAGTTACACCCATATGTGTGGATCTCCCCGCAGTCTCATTTCGAACTTTTGCAACCATATAATACCTATACGTGCGCACGGTTTAGCCGGTAGGTATACTATTATTATTGCGACTATACCAAAACACTAATCACAAAATTGTTATATATACCTATATGTAACGGAACGGGTACCTAAATGGCTATATTATATTATGTGTGTAGGTACCTACCTTCTCCCATATTGTGTGTATATATATATATATATAGGTACAACAATGTAATATAATAACGTCTATAATAACGAAAAAAGGAAAGAAAAAAAAATGATAATAATAAAATAAATAATAGGTACAACAACGACAACAACCGCGCGATGTATACAGTTCGTGATGCGTGGGCACTAGAAACGACCGTCGGTATGTAAATTTCACCGCTAATTAGACTGTATAGCGTATCATTACCCGGAATGCCCATTGGAATACGCGCGCGCGCGCGCACACACACACATATGTGCATATTTTACACACACACATGTATTTATACGAGTTGCTGCCGGCACGAAAATTATATTGTGCGCGCGTAATACCTACATATGTATATATTTATATATTTTATATTAGGTATATATATATATGTATATATATGTACATAAGTACACCTACTGCAGAGCCCGAGTGTGCGTGTACGATATTATAGGGACCTATATATATATATATGTTTACTTATTTCACTCAAGAGTCTTATTTTATTTTTCGCGAGGGGGTCGTCGTCGTTATATTATTAGCTGTCAACCGTGTGTACGGTTTGTGTGTATATGTCCATTGTTGTGTATATACACACACCCATGTAGGAAAGATTTTATTTCCAATCTTCTTAAAAGATATTTTATACCCGGCTCCGAAGAATACCCTCTTTCGGAATTGATATTTCTCCGTCTCTCTCTGTCTCTATGTATATAATATAATATATATAAATATAATAAGTGTATTTACGGGCAACTGGTCATTTGGAAAATTGAGTTTTTAACCGATCCGACTGTGTACACGCGTACTCACACACACATACACATATAAAGTACGAGTGTATTTAAGGATCAACCGTCCTGCAAACGAAAAGAAAAAACCGTTATCGCACCCCTCATGCCATTCAATCATATAAATATAAAGATAAATGTTGTGTGTGTATGTGTATGAAATTAGTAGAATAATTCGAGAAAAACGACGACTGACCCAGTTTTTGTTTTTAACAACTCAGCTGGGCTTAAGGGACGATAAAAAACAAGTCCAACTGCAAAAAAAAAAGGAAAACGTAATCCGGAGGATCGTAAAACGCAGTTGGTCGTAAAATTACGTCGATCGCTGCTAAACCCGGCGGCTAAAGACTATATACACACATGATATATATATTATTAAATATAGACTGTCGAGGGAACGCTTATAATTTTTCTGTGAAAAGGTCGTGTATGAGGGCGGGAGGGACGCGATAAAATTTGAAACAGCAAAATTCACCCTGGCACAGAAACGACGATAAGATATATTCATGAAAATAAAAAATGCAGTCTAGTCTTGTAAAAATGTGTCGCTAAAAATACGCTGTACCACGAGCGGTTAAAAGTGTAGGCGTTCCATTTTCGTTTCGCCAAATGTGCCGGGGCATAATGTAATATTATGATATCGACATATCGTACGCGATCAGATAAATCTGTGCGGGGAGGATCGATTTAGTGACGAAGATTTATTAATATGATCACAGCGTGCAGCAGCGCTGTTACGGTCTCTTCTCCGCAGGAAACGGATTGAAGCGCGCCTGCGCGTTACGTAGGTACTTATATCTATGTATATAAATATACTATATCATATTATATATATGCTTCACGTATACCCAACTCCGGGCCAAGGTCTCATTTCAACCAAAACTCGAGTCGAGGTCGTTTTTGTAGTATATTTTTTTCTTTATGCATGCGCGCGCGAACTTAACCCAATTACATACATATTACCTATATACTAAAATTTAGAATAGAACATTGTTATAAAAGCTTTAGGATATTTAACAATAATGCGAGATGCAGGGATCAGGAGCGTCATTTGAAGAACAATAATTTAAACGATAATTGGCCTGCCATACAATATAAATAGTCATACACGATGCAGTATAATTAACGGTAAAACATTTTTCATGCTCAAAAATCAAACTGCATCATTGCAACGTAATTTTACGTTAGGGAAAAGTAAAAGTAAGTAAACAATTATAATAAGTGAATATGTTAAATGTTAATACAAGCATGTATAACATACATGAAAATGTACATTATCGGCCTCGTTTAGAATTTAAATGGCGCCGCTGATACGAGCGAAAAGAGTATTTTTAATAAGTTTAGGTATAAAAATAATAAAATAAATGCGTCTTATTATTGTATTAATTTTCAGCAAGCGAAACACCCCTCAACCAAACGCCATGTTAGTATATTATTATATGTTGTTACTAGTTGTATAATATATACCTACTGCGGTGAGTGAAGAAGAAAGTACTCTATATTATACATAATTATATATATATATAGGTTTCAAAGCGGAAGTATAATAATAATAACAATAATGTTAATAATAATATTTTTAAGTCCACAGGGGTTGTCATCGTGTGAGGAAAAATAAAATATCGTATTGTATGTCTAATCACGAGAGCTGTAAAATTATGTTATTTACGTCGTATTTTTATGTGTGTGTAATGTCGGCGTCTGTTTAAGTGTGTGTAATGTCGGCAAATCGTTATGCTTCAGTCGGTATACATATATATATATATGTGTGTATAAGTAGGTACCATTAACGTGCGGCCCGCGCAGCCAATATGGCGGCCACTCCAGTGTCGCGTGGAGGTAACCATATAATAACGCAAGTCGAAATGAAGAATAAAAAATACTGCGGTCAGCGCGCGGACATAAATTACGTATGTACCTGTATTAAAGAGTACTATAATAATATTTTCCCGTACATATTCGACATTATATTATATTGTATGCGCGGTGGCGACTGTGTGTATTGTGTTATTTGGGATTTCAAAATATTATATTTGACACTAATTTATTGGTAAACCGTCGAAACGTTGCTTACCTACACGCACGATTAAGGAATGTTTATAAGACGTACTTAACCGAAACAATAATATCATGTGGTACAGAATACAAAAAAATTAAAAATCGAAAAATTAACTAAACACAATTATTTAATGATACCGTTGCGGCGGTGGTCAAACCTCGCCATGTGGCGATGCGGTCATCGGGTCCTGAGATCTACAAAACGAAATAAATAGCCGGTACATGTCAGTTTCCGAAAAACGCGTTTATCGTTCATAACGACCTCCTCCTCCGTAAATATAATAATAATATGTGATATTGTAATATTATGACGACGATGATAGGCCGAGCGCGAGTACCTACGCTGTTGCTGCTGCTGCTGCAAGCAACCTTGACAAATCTATTGAGACGGGTTGATGACATTACGCGAGACTACGCGCACACATCGTTATATTATTATTATAACAGAATTATACGTTCAAAAGTTGTTCGATTCCGAGACATGTGAGAGGAAAACATATCGTATAATAAAATCATATTATATTTTATACCCACGTACGTATGCGTATAGCAGGTTTATACATCATATTATACCTAAATGCACGATTAACTAATTTAGAGATTTTAATAGGAGACGACGCGACCAGAAATCTCTGGATATTATATTGTGTATATATTGTGTGTGTGTGTGCGCGCGAGATTGTCTCTATGTTTGTGTTAAGTCGTTAATGTTGTTTGAATTTTTTAAAATAAACTATAAGTCAGTAATTATTTAATAGTCATCTGGCAAGTAATAAAGTCAACAGCATAAATTAATTATCATAATAATAGATATGTTAAAATAATATCGTATGCTATAGATACTATGGGAACATAAACGAGTACCTATCTATATTACAATTTGAAATCGTTCGAATTGGTCAATTATTAAACCTAGCAAGAATAAAACGTTTTAAAACGTGTCGTGAGGATTTTCTCGTAAATTCAAATCTTATGGACTGTGGTTATTGCACGTCTACAAGTACCTATGATGAACGCAAGTTCTATATATATACGAAATCCACGACCTGGTATACGGTAAATTCTTATGATCTCGCATAATATATACACGCGTTCGTCTATACTGTGTACGAAGGTTTGAATGTCATGACCAAATAGACACATACCTATATAGATGCAGAGAATTTATGAAACACGTATATAAAGAAAAAATGCATAATTTTGCGTTGACGGCGGTAAAGCAATAAAAAACGATAAACGTGTAATTAATCTCGAATTAACGACCATAATTTGTGCGACTACGCTTAACCGCGGATATATAATAATATTTGAATCGGTGAATTTATATTATAAAATGATTTATCGTAAAATGTATTTATATATTATAAATATTAAATTTATATAATGCCGGTGACGGAGTATAATAATATTATATTTATTCTGCTTGCGAAAATTGTGCAACGCAAAATGCCGCCGCACCCATAATTGTATTTATTTTTTTGTTATTGGACGTGTTTAAAAGTCGAAAACACTAGCATGAGATCGGGTTGGCTAATATATTTATACACGAGACACGACAAACTTGAGGTATGATAGCTCGTTACGATAACCGGTATGAACACTAATGTCTAATATTCAATACTGTACTATAGGTTAAGTACGAGTTAAATAGTCGGGGCTGGAATTTCGCATTATTTATCTAATTTATATTTAAAACCAATAAACGGATTTTATAATATTTATGTCACGAAATATTGATTTTAGTTTTGCATTTTAATAAGACTTTTATAGCCCGACCTCTTACATTTATAAATAGTTAAAGTAATAGTATTGGTAAATAATATAATAACATTGGTAGGTATATAATATGTATAAGGAGTGAAACTTAAGTATTCACTATTCAGTATACCTAATATATTATGTATATGTGCAAATAGGTATAAACAACAAAATATAATATTGGATAAGTTATAATGTAAGCGTATAAATCATTTATGTAGCTGAAAATATATTAGTAGTTAGATAAGCGACTAACAGTGTTAGTGGAAGTTAAGGTGTAAAGCGCATTATGCTATTATTTAGTGTATATTATAGTTTGTTAGTATACATATATTATGTAGAAACTAAAAATGTTAAAATTCTAGTGTTATGATATAATATAATATCATTATTATTATTATTATATATTATTCGATCTACACAATGTTATAATTATAGTGTTATTGTATTATAGATCGTTAAATAGGCGGTTAATTATTATTAAGTGTCTGGGGCAAAATGGTCTTACCGGCGCTGGTCCTAGACTTATTTCTGGACGACGAGGACGAGGAGTTTTTCATGGCGTTGGTGCCAGGCGAATGGCATGAGGACGAGGGGTGTTTGGCGGGCGAGAAAACGGCGGGAGCGATGGCCGAATGGTGGTGATGGTGGTGGTGATAGGGGTAATGGGTGTAGGACGACGAGGACGTCGGGGCAGCAGTGCCGGCGGCCGGTTCGTGTTGACCGCCGCCACCACCGCCGCCGAGGTGGTGATGATGATGGTTCAGGTGGTACGCGTTAAACGAGGACGAGGCGGACGTCGAGCTGCCTGGCGACGTTGCGCCGCTCGACGACGAGGTACCTTCGCGCTGTTTGGACGACGAGCCACCGGCCACCAGCATGGACGGCTTCACGTCCTGGACTCCGACTCCTCCGCCTCCGCCGCCGCATCCCTGATGGTTGTCCGGGTGCAGGAACACGCCCATGGACGCTATGGAGTAGGCGGTGGCCGCAGCTGCAGCCGCAGCCGCAGCGCTGTTCGAAGACGAAGACGACGACGACGAGCTTGTGGCCGTCGTCGTGGCGGTGGTCATCGAGTCGGGCGTGCTGTCCTTTGGCGGTGTCGGCGGGAACGTGAACATCGGATGTCCGCCGCCGACGCCGCCGCCGTTGTTGCCTCCTCCACCGCCGGAATGTTGCATGTCTTTGGACGAAGAGGCGACACCCGATGGCGAATCGTCCTGTACCGTCGGCGAAGACGAATACCAACCGCCGCCGGGTGACGACGATTGCATTTTGGTGTCTAACTGGTTGTTACCGTTGTTGTTGTTGTTATTGTTGTTATTGTTGTTGTTGCCGCCGTTCAGCCAGGCTGCAGCCGGATGAGAAAAGTGAGACGGCCTACACATGTTTCTCGTAGATCCTGCAACAACAAAATGTAACAAATCAATACCTATATATTATAAAGATTTAATTTTTACTCAATATTATGGTAATGTAAACAAATATATGTCATATTACAAGACCTGCAGTATATAATACATATTATATACCTTGCACGGGTATACCAGAGAAGTTTGAAAAAAGTAATAACGTATATACATGAAAATATTTTAGTTGTAAAAAGGGTTTGTAAACTGCAGTATGGTGGTATTTCATCAGGCCCAACTAAGATGTTTGTCACTCTATTAATGAATTTGAAGTAATTTCTCGTCAGTAAATTCAACATTAGGATTTCAAATGTTTGCCTAAATTCACCGGAGTTGAGTGAAATTGCTAGCTGATTCCGCCGTTTTAGTTGAAAAAAGTAGTTATTAGGACGTCCTCTTTCGCCGAGTAATAAGCTCATATCGTAAAATGTATATTATGGTACATATATATTTTTATTGTTTATCAAATCGCTGCAATTTCACAATATTTGTCGTTTACGACTGCTGCTGCGGATAAAACTCCGGTGGAAAGCGTATCACAATAATATTGTATTATCCACACAACACACGCGTATAAATGCATAATAAAATGCGCGGTGCAGCGTAATTTATGCGTTTCACAGATCCGGCGCGACACTCAATCGACGAGTGCATATTAAATGCATAATGCATATTATACAATATACAGGGTGATCAATTAAATGTATGAAACTCATTATTTCAGAAATCAATAACGTTTCAAGATTTCTTTCACATAATTTTAAAACGTTACATAAAATTTTTGGAAAAATTATAATATTTTTTATTGTTATATTTTTTTAAGTCTAAGTCTTGCGAATGACAACATACATTTTTATCTTTATATTCTGGATAAGTAGTTTATTAGTTTTGTGTATTAAAAGTTTAGACGAGTGGAGTATTGAAACAACATTTTGCGGGGTACCCACCAAGGGTCACTCAACTCAGCTTTTCTAAACTTTAAATACTTTTAACTCATAACCTAGGTACTCGTCCAAAAAGTTCGAAGAACTTCAGAAGGTATTTTGCTTTGGACTAAGAAATTTAAAATGCTCGTTTTCATTATAAAAGTAAAAAGTGTGTATAAAAATGATAACGATAAATAATTGTACCTAATTTGAAGACTTTAATATAGGTTTTGAAATAGTAATGAGTGTCTTACAATAAAATGGATCACCCGGTATAATATTATAGTGGTCTGCATTTAGGTATATCATATGGGTGCGGGCAGCCTCAGGATCTTCGTCTCCCTGGCCAACCATACCTCAGCCGTACGGCACCAGCCGCGTTATACTTATTGTACACGTATATACATAGGTATTTATATAATATGATATATACACACATAAAGTAGCTTGTACCTGTCAATAATACATCAGCGCGTGTGTGTTGCGTTATTGGCTATTTTTTTTTTCTTCCGCTGAAATCGATTTATCGCGATGCCATTGCCCCTAGCCGCGCGTAATAGCTGCTACACGCGCTCGCCATTCACCGTTCAGGTACACACCACCACCGTTTACGTAACGACAATAATATATTACATGCATAGGTATAATACACAACAGTAAGTGGTGTACACGGCCGGTACATATTATTATTATACTTGTGCGCACACCTGTATACGCCGACGACGATGATGATGTCGAGAGCGTTTGCGGACTGCAAAATTAAAATATACATCTCGAGAGGAGGTCGTCACTGGCCGGCCGCTACACTACTCGTCTCCGTTGTCGCCGCGGTGACCATATACGTATAATAATATGATGTATACACATAATGTATGCAACCACAGTATCATATCACGTTTTAATGATATATATATTATTATGCGATCCGAAAGGAATTGTCTCGGTCAAACCGTGACGCGTACACTATATAGGGTGTGCCAGAAACGTGCGTCGATCGCGGCCTCTGGCCCTCGTCCAATTACGGAAAAATAATAAGAATAACGACGATATGACATATTATACGCGCGGGCAATATTATATATTATTATTATTATGTGCGGTACGAGTTGTACGCGCACTCTTTGAAGATGGGCGGCCACAGATAGAGGGCTGCGTTTTTATTCGTTCACACGCGCTCGCGTAATGCACATTTCGAGGAGGGAAAAAAACACAGAGAGTGAGAGAGAGGGTGAAAGAGCGCAAAGCGCGTGCGTTATCTACGCCATCGAAACGCTCTCGTGAAAATGCGACCAAAAGTCCGCGGGAGAGGACAAAACACGATTGCGAGCCCTTCAGACGAACGCGCGAAACGTTTATACAGTTGTTTAAACACCACAACGAAAAATATAATATGTGCCTTTGATGTGACCTGCGAACTCGTAATGACATCATACTGTATTACGCTGTGCATGTTGTTATCGCGAGCTGGTGGACGTGAAGGCTATTATCAATTGAATCACTCCGCTAATATAATTAAATCCATCTCACGAAACGCGCTTCTCGTGGGTTTGTAGTCTGTAGGTATAGGGCTATATTAAAGAATTTTCCACCGAGGGGCAAGAAGAAAATTCAAAAATTTTCATTTTCTCTCTGGATTGGGACTAGGAATATTCTATTAAATGGATCGTTGCATAATTAAAGATTGAGTTTAGATCACTTTTGACGTTTACGGTGTATATTGTGTTACGCTAATAATAATAGTATTATTATATTATATATCACGGTATAACAAAATATTGCAAAATGTAATATTAATCGTTGAAAATAAACGAATGTGAGTAGTTATGACTTTATGAGAGTTAAGTCAGCCCCTTATTGCCTCCTCACCACCCTAAAAACAGCCACCCGTTTGACCTAAATTATATTATAATCTATAACGATAATATTATTATGATGATACTATGTTAAGCGAAGAATCGTTAAGGTGATGGGGACGTACCCTTCCCGGTCGTGTGAAATCCTCGCCGTTTTCCCAACATCGAATTAATATTATTATTATTTTGATTTCTGACTGCGGCCCCCTCGGTGGTAATGTAATATTATTTCAGTCGATTAACCAACGACGCCGGACGGATTTATAAAATAATTCTATGAATATTATTCTCCGAAAACGAGCACCGTGAGTGACCACACCACCAAATTAAAATACTAATATATCGTGAGCGTATACGTCATATCGTGTTAAATCAAACGACGTCGCATGTACGGTGGATTCCTTGTAAATCGATAAAATGTGTGTTTAGAAATTAATACCCGTGTCGCTTTGTTCGGGCGATCGATCACGTACACAACGGAACAACTATTTATGGACACCTCCCAATAACGTACACTGTAATAATATTATATTATATAGCAGGTACTAATGTGCTGTATTGAAAAACGAGTTCTCGCCTCAAACACAACTGACGCATTCGTAATGCGAATATAATATATTATAACGCGCGTTACATATTTTTAATTTATCGAATTTTCTAAACCACCTGTGCGTACTTGTATTCGAATCGTGTACCAGTGCGTAATGTGTGTGTGTGTACTGTGTATGCATCGTGAACATTTTCTATATTATACACTTTTATTACTCCGTTTCGTAATTAACCGTCTCTGCGCGCCGTAGCTGTATATTTTTTCTTAACCAACGTAGGTATACGATAGCTATGTTTTATGACAATAAAAATGAGTTTTATTATTTTTTTTTTTTTGTGTAATGGACTTTTATCATTGTATATATATTATTATATATTTATGTATAGGCGTAACTATAAGTACTCGCATAAGTGATAGTAAAATCGAGAAAGTCTGGCGAACAGTGTATTTTTTATACATACACTCATCGGGATTCTAATGATCATGTCGAAGTTAAAGACTACACAACCGCATACAAGGTTGGTAAATGTATTTTCGTGACATTATCAATCGTTTATATTATAACGGTTAACGGCTTTACGAAACGCGTCGCATATAATATAGGTACTCTGCAGTAGGTAGTTATATTCATTAGCAATGGTTATCCGCCGCCGGTTACATATTATTATATAGATAGGTGTAAAGTTGGTAAAAACGAACTCGAGTAAATTCTAATACGACGATAGCCGCACAATAGTAATATTATGTAGTAGGTTTATGAATGACGTTAACAGTACGCAAAATAAGTGAAACAATGCATAACAATTATGAGTAATCCGTTTTTAGAATTTCGTTTCGATATTAAATATTAAGGACGAGAAAAAAAATTAAATAATGACCCGGCGACCGGTGTTGGTCAATACTAATTTCGAGCTGCGGCTGTATCATAGTAATGTTTATAAATTTTAATCTATAAAAGTAAAAAAAAATGAGAAAACAGGTGAATCGCTGCACCGGGCCTGCAATTCGGAGGTACCTCTAGGTAGACGAGACGACTAAATATTATATACGCGTGCTTGGAGGTGGACAGGTGAAGTCGGAAAATTGTCGCTAATGACGCGTCTTGCACACACACACACACACACACACACACACACACACACACACACACACACACACATTATCAAAAACCGTACACGCGTACGTCGTGCAATAATAATAATAATAATAATGAAGAAGTGGCGGCGTCGGTCCTACACGTACGACAACGAGAATAATAATAATAGTAATAATAATAATAATATAATCGTACACTCATATTATGCGCGTACAATATATATCCGTCGTTTGGTCTTCATTACGTGAGAAATTGGCGATTCAAAGCGCGGACCGGCGGCGTAGGATATATCGAGAAGAAGATGTCATGCGCCACATATTAAAAAGTCGTTTATAACTCGCGCGATATGAGATCTATAGTAATAAAAATGTATACACTATACCATAATACCTAACGTATCGGTATGTGCCTATACACTATTATCGAGAGAAAAAATATTCGAAAATAATAATACATATTAATAATACATTATATTAATATATACAATAAATAATATTAACAAAAAAAAACCGTTCACACCAAAGCCGTCGGTTTTTAAAACCCGCGTGCACGTCTGTTTTCGGTCTCG